GAATCCAATTCTTGTAATGATAAGCAGCGGCGTCATTATTTTTTCTTCCAGATGGCACTACATGAGCATGCGCTATTCTCTTCCTATCAACGATCCTCATCAATTTACTTTAACACTAGTTGACAAAATCAAACCTATTGATCGAAAGAAGTTTTCTTCGTTAACTTGTTCAGATAACATTATGTTTCTAGTCAATAAGAATGGAGAATGTATTGAACGATGGTCCATCGCAAAGAGTTTCAATTGGAAATTAATCAAACGTAAGACCAAATACTATTTCTTCCTTCACCTCAAACTGTTTTTCATGTTTAGGCTGGCCAGCGGAAGAGTTCTGCGGTGATAATTTTCGTCTAACAGCACGAATACGAGCCAATCATTTAATGTTAGGTGAGGTTCATCTCTTGAACCATAAATCCATAACTTTCGAATATCTTTTAGCAATTAATATATGTGATTTAAATTTTGGTTATCGTATTTGTCTATATGATTATCACATGCGATTTATCCGTCAAATCAGTTCGGATTACAATTTACATCTATTATCTTACATGAACGGAAATCAATGGATAGCAACGGACTACAAAGAACGATTTTATATTTTCAATGATAATGACGAATGTATTCAGACAGTTGTTGAATACAACGGTCAAGGAGATTTGATTCGAAATATTTGCCGATTGGGTCTGAGTTATATCGGTGTGAAAATGAAAAGTCGATTGAAAATTTATCAAATCTAATCTTCATATTGATTTTGTGTTTTTTTTTGCAAATCTGCATCGCGATGTTGCTATTTTCATTTGTCTCCTCACAATATTTCCCTTTGTTTGTTTTCCGTTGTTACCCGATTTCTTTTTTTCTCTCTCTTTCTCTTTTGGATAGAACAAATAAACGCGTGTGCTCGCTATGCAAGTGAAATAAACACTTGATGTACATACGCAAGAATATTAATAACAACTGTTGCCAACAGCCAGTCTCTATGCCGGTAGAGACAAACAACATCAACCGGCTTTTTTTCCTCTCTCGACTTCGACATCATCTGATTGAGACTTGTCGACAAGTGAATAGAAAAGAAAAGAAACTTTTTCGATTGATTCTGCCATTCGCCTGTAGTTCAGATGCTCTTGAAAAAAAAAAGGAAAAAGAACGAAGAGAACAGTGTGCATAGTGCAGCGAAGGAATCGGTGTTGATGGAAACACAAACAGAATGTCTCTCTCTCTCTCTCTCTTTTTTTTCTTTTAAACAACTAAATTCAACTTTGCAACTAGGCAATCAAGAGATCGACAAAGAGAAAAAGCAGTTTCGCACTTCAATTATTGAAAATTCAGACAAGCAGAAACAACGAGATGTTTCGCGTTTTTCTGTTCGACTGTTTCAAGCGATGATATAATCACTATTCAGATTCATTTAGTGCAAATTTTCTTTTAGAAGTTCTATAAATTTGCAGTTTTTTTTTGCATCACTGAACATTATTTCTTGGTAATCCAAACGTTGAATTCGTTTTCAAAGTAATCCAGCTTGACGAAGGTTTTTGTTAGGTTAACTGTGACTTTCTTTTGTGTAGATGTCTGAAGTTGCAAATGGCAGTGAAGTTTCACCGCCACTTGTTAATTTAAAATGTCAGTTCAATTTCCGGAAGAAAGCTTTTTTCACTAATGATTTTGTTTGTTTCTTTTTGTTAAACAGCTGATTCGCGACAAAATGGACGGGGCTCTATCAGTACAGCTCAACCTTCAACAGCAGCCGTAGCTTCAGTAAGAAAAGATTTGCGATTGGATTTACATTTGAACATTGACGTTTGATTTTAGTCGAAGAATAAAGTCAGTGGCACTGACCGTCAACAAGAACTTGCTCGACAAGCAAAAGCTCTTCGAGATGAACGTCGAATCACAGTATGAATATCGATGAAGAACAAATCTCAAATTTGTATTCTAAATTATGATTTTCATTAACTAGCTCGATGGTCGACATGAATATCTTTTTTCTACGGTAAAATTTCGGATATTTGAGGCAATAGAGTTCATTATTTTGAGGACTTTCTAGCTCGCTGAAGCAGTTGGAATTGATTCTGCACAAGTTGAAGATCATATTCTGGGAGATGAAAAAGTATGCACTGTTTTTTTAACATGAAGTTTGCAACGTTTTTCGTTCTAGTTCGATTGTATTGATGATTTCTTTCTTGCCGGTGGACGACGAGTCTTAATGTTTTGCTATCAAGAACCTAAAGTACATATTTAGAATCAAACCTTCTTTTCCTTTATCGTATATCTATATTTATCGTAGAATCCCGAACTGAACCAACCAGTTTATGGTCGTATGACCAATGCTGGACCGAAAAAACGTGTAATGATTTGTACTGGTGGTGAATCAACGGTAAGAATACGCGATATTTCGATTTCTCTATGAGATTTTTCTTCCAGCCATTAACTGGTTCATTGTATTATTTTATTCGACCCAATTCGACAAAAGCAATTACATCATCAAGCATTTCCAGTGATGTCGTTTTTGGTCAATTAGATGCTTCTAATGGTAAAATGCTCGAATCAATTGACCAGCTATTAGCAAATATAGTTATTCCATTGTTAAACCAATATGAAGTTCGTACTAAACGAAGTTCTTCTGGCGGAACCTTGGAACTTTGTTTATTTGCTTTTGCAGGATTGGGGAGCTTTAAAAAATCGTGGTAATCTCAATGTACAAGACTTTCTCGATGCTATGGGTCAATTCACAGCTACCGTCAATGGTGCCAATGATAATATCGGTAATTTGAACGAATGAAAAGAGAAATTTATTGTTTATTTATTGTTTTTTTTAGCACACCAAGTTAAATTGGCACCGGGAGATAATGATAATACTTTATCGACATTAGCAACACCACATGATTATCAAGTCATGGCAGCTAATAGTGAATTCGTGACCGAATGTGAAAATTTAATGGAGAAATGGTGTAAACAGATCGAAAAAGTACGTATTTCCACAAAACCAATAATAATGTTTACAGTTCTATTTTGTAGATCTTAGCGGAAAGCGAACAGATCCGACGCGAAGCTGATGACGTTGGACGTAAGACGCTAACATTTTTTTAAATTTCTTTCTCAAAACGAGAAAATCTTTTGTTTTAGCATCAGCTGAATTAACTCACTGGAAACAACGTATGGCGACGTTTAACAACCTTTTAGAACAAATCAAATCCCCCCGATGCCGCGCCGTTGTTGGTGTTCTTCAAATAGTCAAATCGAAACTGCTAATTCGTTGGAAAGATCTGGTAGATCACTTCGAATGACCTCATTTTGTACTTTTCCGTATCTTTATTCGAATAGGATGCTCGAATCACCGATGCTGCCAATGAAGCTAAAGATAACGTTCGATATCTATACACATTAGATAGATTTCTCAGTACACTCGATCGAAGCAATCTCGTAAGAAATCATTCGAACACTTTTTCATTCGAAACTTCTTCGATTGCTTTTGATTTAGAATTCAATTTCAGCCAACATTCCTAACTTGATGAACGCAGTTCGAATGATCCATAGTATTTCTCAATATTACAATTCCTCCGAGCGCATGACATCCTTATTCGTGAAAATAACAAACCAAATGATCAACACATGCAAACGTTACATTCGAAATGGTAACAATCGTCTTTGGGACGTTCCAAAGTAAGGCGTACGGTCAAATGTTTCCCGTTTTCTTTTCAATTCTTATTTCTAGACAAGAACTCATCAGCCGAATGAACGAAAGTAAAAAATTGAACGAAGAATATCAAGGGAACTTTCATAAGACCAAAGCGAAATTACAAGAATCAGCGAACGAACGTCAATGGAATTTCAGTGCAAACTATATCTTCGGCAAATTCGATGCATTCTGCAAACGTCTCGATCGTATTGTCGATGTTTTGAATACTATCGATAGTCTTAGTGGTTTACAGAACATTCGTGTCGAAGGTTTAGAACCGATCGTTGTAAAATACCGTTCAGTTGTCGATGCGATCAAGAAGAAAAACTATGATATTCTCGATCATCGTAAACCAGATGTAAGTATTTTCATAGATTCGTTTTGTTCTACTGAGTTTTGAATGAAATTTTAGTTTGATACCGATTACAATGAATTCAAATCACAAATCGAGTATATTCAAGCTCAACTTCAAATGTTTATCGATTCTTGGTTTCGAAAGTCATACACGGTAATGATTTACGCATAAATTAATGTTTCATTGACATGTTCCGTTTGTAGGTGGAACAATCGTTACTATTTTTGAATAAATTTCAAGATCTCGAAGGTGTTAAAATCGACTTCGCTGATAAATACAACAAATTATTGCAAAACTTCAGTAAAGAACTCGATATTGTACGAAAGATCTACGAAAAAAACAAAGAAGATCCGCCATTAGCACGAAACTTACCACCCACCGCTGGTCGAATTATCTGGGCACGACAATTGTACAAACGAATAAGCATTCCAATCAAATTATTGCAAGAGAAGATGGATTTAAACAAAAGTGAAGATGGTAAATTAGTCATCAAAAATTTCAACAAAATTGCGGAAGCTTTACTTCAATACGAAATCTTATTTTATCGTAATTGGGAGCGTACTATCGAATTGATCAAGAAAGGTATGCAATCAAGTGTTTTCATTCGACATCCCGAAACCAAAGTACGTGATTCCTCATCGATATCGAAAAAGAAAAAGTTCAATCTCTTCTAGGAAGAACACGTGAATTTCGATCCTCAAGTATTGGAAATGATTAAAGATGCTCAATATTTATCCAAATTAGGTTTGGACATTCCCGAAGTAGCCACAACATTACTTCGTCAAGAAGATCAAATTCGCCGTGCAAGTGTTCGTTTACATGAACTATTAAATGAAATCAAGCAAGCATACGCAACTATTCCGAAAGATTTGTATCCATTATTAAAACCACACCGAGAAAAAGTTGAAGAAGCACTACGGCCTGGTTTCGTGGCTATTACTTGGTCATCGTTAAATATTGATGAATGTATGTCTATTTACACATGTTCTGTTTCCTCTAGGAATGAGATTTTTGTTTAGTTATTAATAATGTTCGACAAGAACTTGAACAATTACGTGTTTTGATCAATGATTGCACAAATATTGTCCAATGTCGTATTGAAAATGCTTTGCAGACTATTGCTGAAACTCAACTATCAGAACCACAACCAGATCCGATCACACTAGATGAATTTTCGAAATTAACCGATGAATCGTGTCAACATGCTATTAGTTCGATCACACGACAAACCTTATTGTGCGAAAAGGCTGTTCAATATCTCTTAGAAACGTTGAAAAAACGTTTGAAACCCAACGAACAAGCGCAAATCAAAGAAACCGAGACTGAATATTACGAATGCGCATTGAAATCCACAATGCCAACGAAAGGCCATGTGGCACGATGCAATGACTGTCAACCATGTGCATTCTTCAATCTTCTAACTGTATATTGGAATAAGAACATTGATGCTATTGTTCAATGCACGCGAAGTTCATTGGAAACTATTCGCAAACGTTTACAACAACCCATTCGTTATGTGGGAGAAGAAGTCATACGTGAACAAGTGCGAAATCCATTATTTCGTACGGATATTGTTTTATCGATTCCAAATGTGCTTGTCAAACCAAGTTTGGATGATATGCAATCACAATTGAATAAATCAGCGAATACAATGCTGAAAATTGGACAGGACATTCCAGAATGGTTTCACGCGAAGAAACTTCGAGAAATTTTAATCAAGGTACGATGGAAAACGTAGAGAGTAGAGAAAGAGATCAAATTCACTTTTTTAGGAAATCGAAAAACAAGCCTTGGATGAAGGTGAAGATGTGAAATTAGCTGTTCAATCAAAAGCACCAAAACCATTACATAAAGTATGATCTTCTTCATAGTGAGAACATGAGAGAAATCGAAATGTTTTGTTTATCTAGATCATTGCCGAAAATAACGATGTCAAAAAAGGTAAATAGATCGAATTCAGTTCAAGTACATAATCTCACTATTCATGATTTCTAGTTGTTCTCTCACTCAATTCTGCCATTAGCACATTCAAACCAGATGTTCAAGACATGATGAAGAACTTCACTGGTTTTGCTGAATTATGGGAAAAAGTAAAATTTTCATCTCACAGTCCAATCGCTTTCAATCTTATCTTCTTTCTTCAAATAGGAACCTGAACCGACTGTTAAAGCATTTATGGAAACTAAACCTTTGATGGTTGACTTTGAAGCTCTCTTCAAACATTACAAACGCATGGAAACCGATATTGATGAGTTTCCTCAAACTTTTCAAGTTGGTTCAATTGTATTTCACACTGAAAATCTTAAACGTGGTCTAAAAACGGAAATCAACAATTGGAAGATGGCGTACGCGAAAGCGTTGAACGAAAAAGCTGCCCAAGACATGCAAATGATCTTCGATAAAGTCGAAGATATTCAAAAACGTCTAACCCGTCCATGCAATGATCTCGATGATGTTCGAACACACATGGGTGCCTTAGCTGAAATCCGTCAAAATGAAATTTTAATCGATCAAACCATCACACCTGTCGAAGAAACATACGCGATGTTTAACAAATACGAAATCGCGTTTAACGATGGCAAACCTGAACTCGTCGATACTTTACAATATGCCTGGAAGAAATGTTTACAGCAAGGTAAAGAAGTTCAATCAAATCTACTCGACATTCAACCGAAATTTAAACAAAATCTTTTGGATAATGTGTCAACATTTCAAAATGATGTTAACCAATTTGCTGATGATTATGCGAAGAAGTAAGCCGAGAGGAATATGAGATATATGTAATGAATGAATTGATTGCCATTTTAAGGGGACCGATGGCTCGAGGTATTCCACCTCGTGAAGCTAGTGATCGACTAACGCTGTTTCAAGCGAGATTTGATGAATTATGGAGAAAATTTGAAACGTACAGTGCCGGAGAAGAATTATTCGGTTTATCAGTTACTGAGTATCCAGATTTACAACGAATCAAACGAGTATGAAAAGGACTCTTTCGAAATTCTATAGGAAAAGACTTACATTTTTTCTAGGAATTAAGTTTGTTACAAAAACTCTACGGTCTATACAATATTGTCATCGATACTATCAATGGTTACTATGATATCGCATGGGCCGACGTAGACATTGAAAAAATCAATAATGATCTACTAGATTTTCAAAACCGCTGTCGAAAAATGCCCAAAGGTCTTAAAGAATACGAAGCTTTCGATGAATTGAAAAAGACGATCGGTAAAACAAACACTAGCAATCATATTTTCGCTTAATCTCGCATCTATTCTAGATGACTTCAATGAAACTTGTCCGCTACTTGAAATGATGGCAAACAAATCAATGAAACCTCGGCATTGGGAACGTATTGCAACTACAACCAGTCACAAATTCGATATTGAATCAGATAACTTTCTCCTACGTGATATCATGGCTGCCCCACTACTGAAATACAAAGAAGATATCGAAGTAAATTGATCGATAAGAAACGAATCTTCTCAACTCATTTGTTTCTCGTTTAGGATATTTGTATATCAGCAACAAAGGAAAAAGATATCGAAGCGAAACTCAATCAAGTCGTTGCTGATTGGGGAAATCAGAACTTTCAATTTAGTACATTCAAAGCGCGTGGTGAACTTCTTCTCAAAGGTGATTCGACCGGTGAAGTAATCGCGCTTATGGAAGACTCTCTCATGGTCCTCGGTTCATTGATGTCCAATCGGTAAGCATCTTCATGCAACGAATATTATGAACTCTTCATTCTGTTTAGTTACAACGCACCGTTCAAAAAGAAAATTCAAGAATGGGTGCAGAAATTAACTTCAACAACGGAAATCATCGAAAAATGGATGGCAGTACAAAATCTTTGGATTTATCTCGAAGCCGTCTTCGTCGGTGGTGATATCGCCAAACAACTACCAGCGGAAGCAAAACGTTTCGGAAATATCGATAAATCTTGGCAGAAGATCATGCAACGTGCACATGAGAATTTAAATGTCGTTAGCTGTTGCACAGCCGATGATACTCTAGCGCAACTGTTACCACATTTGTTCGAACAATTAGAATTGTGTCAGAAATCATTGACGGGTTATCTCGAAAAGAAACGTTTGGTTTTTCCACGATTTTTCTTCGTTTCTGATCCAGCACTTTTGGAAATTCTCGGTCAAGCCAGTGATTCACATACGATTCAAGTAAGTTGTCGCAAAATGATCGCATTTCAATGATTATGTGTTGCGTTTTTGGTAGAACCATTTGTTGAGTGTCTTTGATAACACGAAAACAGTTACATTCGATGATAAGGTTTACGATAAAATCCTCGTCTTAAACTCTCAAGAAGGTGAACAAGTACCGTTGAAAGATTCAGTCATGGCTCAAGTATGAGTTGACAGTTTATTTTCACACATTGATGGAATATTTCGTCATTTGTAGGGTAATGTCGAAGTTTGGCTGGGAGATCTTTTGAAAGCTTCACGAGCATCGTTGCATAAAATTATTCGTGATGGTGCGATCGCCATTCAAGATACAGCGTTCAATCTAATGGATTTTCTTAGTAGTTTTCCAGCTCAAGTAAAGAATTGTTATGTGAATTGATTTATTTTCTTTTAAATGAATTGGATTTAGGTCGGTTTACTCGGTCTTCAAATGTTATGGACACGGGATGCTGAAATTGCATTGAATAATACAAAAGTCGATCGTAAAATTATGCAAGATACCGCAAAGAAATTTCTTGATATCTTGAATGCATTGATTACCAAAACCACAGAAGATTTGTCGAAATTAGATCGTGTGAAAATTGAAACATTGATTACCATTCATGTCCATCAAAAAGATATCTTCGATGAATTAGTATGTCGAACTACATGGGAAAGCATAACTTTTGATTTTATAAACTTCTAGGTTATCAATAAAACTCGTTCACCACTTGAATTCGACTGGTTGAAACAATGTCGATTCTACTTCGATGAAGATGCCGATATTTGCAGAATTTCAATTACCGATGTCGATTTTAAATACATGAATGAATATTTGGGTTGCACAGATCGTCTTGTCATTACACCGTTGACTGATCGGTAAGTGTTGAAGATTGAGCGACTCAGGGAGATTATTATCATCTCTTTCAGATGTTATATCACATTGGCACAAGCTTTACACATGTCATTAGGTGGTGCACCTGCAGGTATGAACGAAGAAAAGAAATAGAGATTTTAGTAATCGAATTCGATTTGTTTAGGACCTGCTGGAACTGGTAAAACCGAAACAACTAAAGATATGGGTCGTTGTTTGGGCAAATTCGTTGTCGTAAGTTATCAAATGAAGCAGACATCGATGAGTTTGAAATGTTCATAGGTATTCAATTGTTCGGATCAAATGGATTATCGTGGTCTCGGTCGTATTTACAAAGGTTTAGCTCAATCAGGTTTGTAAACATGGAATCTTTCATTTGTTCTCTTAATAATTTCAATCTTGTTGTCATCAAGGATCATGGGGTTGTTTCGATGAGTTCAATCGTATCGAACTGCCTGTACTTTCCGTCGCTGCTCAACAGATCGATATTGTCTTACGTTGTAAAAAAGAGAAGAAACCTCAATTTATTTTCACTGATGGTGATAACGTCGATATGGATACTGAATTCGGTATTTTCTTAACCATGGTAAACCTACCACAGTCNAGATATCAAGGGGTTGTTTCGATGAGTTCAATCGTATCGAACTGCCTGTACTTTCCGTCGCTGCTCAACAGATCGATATTGTCTTACGTTGTAAAAAAGAGAAGAAACCTCAATTTATTTTCACTGATGGTGATAACGTCGATATGGATACTGAATTCGGTATTTTCTTAACCATGGTAAACCTACCACAGTCGAATCATCATTCATTTTCAATATTCTCTCTCGAAATTTAGAACCCTGGTTATGCCGGTCGTCAGGAACTTCCCGAAAATCTGAAAATCAACTTTCGTACAGTCGGTGAGTGATTTTGTCCAAAAAGTCGTCTTCGGCTGCTGTTCATCCGACGCCTTTTAGCTATGATGGTTCCTGATCGTGCCATCATCATGCGTGTCAAATTGGCCAGTTGCGGTTTTCTTCAAAATATCAAATTGGCCAAGAAATTCTATACATTATACAAACTTTGCGAAGAACAGTTAACAAAACAGGTTCACTACGATTTCGGTCTACGAAATATTCTATCCGTCTTACGTACTTTGGGTGCGTTTAAACGTGAGAACCCAACCGATTCTGAAGAAAAAACTATGATGCGTGTTCTGCGTGATATGAATCTTTCAAAACTGGTACGTCTTCATTCTGTTTTTCCCCGAAAAGATCATCAGATTTTCTTCTCTGCGTATCTAGATCGATGAAGACGAACCACTCTTCTTATCTCTAATTGATGATTTGTTTCCTGGTATTCAACTTGAAACCAAAGGTTATCCAGAAATCGAAGGAGCTATCAAAACACAGGTAACGATTAATCGGAAGTAATCATAATCACGAACATTTTCTCTTCATTAAATGTAAGACTGAACAAGCACAACTAGTTCATCATGCACCATGGGTATTGAAATTGATTCAATTGTATGAAACACAACGTGTACGACATGGTATGATGACACTAGGACCCAGTGGTGCTGGTAAAACCAAATGCATCACGTACGAAATGAAAGAAGAAGAAAACTTATTTTTGTAACATATTGATCTTTAGAATTTTGATGAAAGCTATGACAGAATGTGGTGCACCACATCGTGAAATGCGTATGAATCCTAAAGCTATCACTGCACCACAAATGTTCGGTCGATTGGATGTGGCAACAAATGATTGGACTGATGGTATCTTCTCTACTCTATGGCGTCGAACATTGAAAACGAAAAAAGTACGACCGGTTCTTATTGACGAATAATACGAATGTTGTATCTTAGGGTGATCATGTTTGGTTGATTCTCGATGGTCCTGTCGATGCCATTTGGATCGAAAACTTGAATTCCGTCTTAGATGATAATAAGACACTAACATTAGCTAATGGTGATCGAATTCCAATGGCTCCAAATTGCAAAAT